ACACGCACGCACACACACACACACACACACGCACGCACACACACACACACACACACACACACACACACACCACACACACACACACACACACACACACACACACACACACACACACACACACACACACACACACACACACACACACACACACACACCGACACGTGACAAGAGAGTACATGCGTGCCATGAAAACATGAACTCCATTGCCCCATGTGCCTGTTGGAAGGAGCCGGTGCGCAACTCGGTGTACACCATGCGTGCAATGTGGGCGGTGCACACCCACAGCGCGGTACCTTTGGAGTTTGGGCGCAAGGACCCGCCACAAGGGGGTTCGCAGGGGGTTCGATTCGCTGATGTTTGGCTTTGGTTGGTATTTTTGGATTATGTTGCCTTGTACCGCTGGTGTCCTGTGATCCTGTGGGCTCATTTCTAGGGTTGCCATGGCTTTGTGCTCTTGTGCCAAGGATTTCCGACAATGACGATTTGTAAGCCGGGCGTGGTGCGACTTCCTGTCTCTTACCACTTGCAAGTCAAGGAATCAACGGTTTACGCATCCAGGGTTCCAATTCGAGGATGTAAAAGGCTGACGCAGGCTCGATCAAGTCATGAGGAGCAGACAACACAAACACCAGTAAAACGGCCGCGCCGCATGACCTGGCTACAGTACTTGAGGTTGAGATGGATGTGGGAAAGCACAATGTGAGCTTGCCTGCAGACTGAATTTGGTTGGTTGATTCAGGTGTTCATCTAGCCAAGGCCCAAAATGAGTTTGTGTTTCTGGCCAGCCAAGGCAGTAGGTCACTCAGGGCACCTTTTAAGGAAAACACAACCAAGGACGAGTGATGTGTCAAAAGACGGATTCATCGGAGGGTCTTTGGGTGACGACCGCATTCCCCACAGCTGCCCGGCAGCCTCCCGGAGCCATAGCAACAGGGTCACCGGGTCACCGGGTGTTGCGCCAGGACCCCTTGAAGTTGTCGGCCAATAGTCGCCTGAGCTTCCAGCAGAGGAAGATCCGGCTGGTGAAGGACTACAGTGCCGCTTCTGGCGCAAGGAGGGTCGATTCATCGGAAGAACCCAAAAAGGAGATGGACGGCCAAATAGAACACCGACCGGAGATGCGAAGGAAACGGCAAGTAAGGGAAAGGAAATGGAAGGGAGATGGAAAGGAGATTAAAAAGGAAATGGAGAGAACATCCTCCTTGAAGATGACGACCTAAACGACTATGAGGCATCTGAATGGACCTTTGCCAATGGCTCCAGCTCGATGTTTGATGGACTTGCTCCCTAAGTGCTTCCAAACCCGCATGTTTTCACTCAACCAGCAAACGGGTAAACGTTAAAGTTAAGGGGGAGCCCCGTCCAGTCAGTGAGACACCTTTCAGGCACAACTATGAGTGGATATTTGTTGTACACCGCTTGTCATGGACTTTCCTTCCCCCCGTGAGGCTTATATGAGAGGCTTCTGTGATTGGATGCACGAACTTTCCACCAGTGGAGTGGGTTGAAGCAAAAGCTCCTCGCACTTCCCGTTGCCAGACAACGCTGCTTCTTGTGTTGCAGCCAGATTTGTAGCAAATAGCAAGGGTACAAACTGGGCACTTCCTAAATGAAACAACAAGAGCCTTCATATGCAAAAGGGCTTTAACGTTCTTAAGCACTATATATTTTGTTTCAGGTGGACCCAAGATCCAGGATCCAAGATCCAAAGCCATATGTTTCACTCTTGGATCTTGGATCCTGCCCAAAGCAATTTTCAAGTTTGGCAAAAACTGTTCAAGTTGTTTGCGATCAGGGCCTTCTGATTGGATCTAGGAAGTGCCCAGTATCGCCCTCATGTTGAATTTGATCCCCAAACAACAAGTTCAACAAAGCTGAGAGTCAATTACGCATTTTTATACTATGTGTTTCTCAGGCCCAAGTTCAAGGCCGGGTACCATATCTCTATACACGTGAGTACATGTAGCATGTAGAAGGCTGCCGTGTTGGCACGCGCGTGCTTCTCTTGTCCCCGAGGTGCGGCATGAGTGCGTGCTGAACATCTTCACTGGGTCGTGCCAGGCCGATGTGAACCCTTGTCAGTTTCTGGGGTCTCCTCCAAAGCTACTAAGTGAGGCCCCGCAGTAAACATGAAGCAGAGCCAGAACGACTTCCTTTTGATTCCTTTCCAAGGCTTGGGTTGGCACTCAATATCCAACCGTGACCAAGAGAGTTGCGAGAGATTTGCGAAGTTGCATTCGGTGTCCTTGGATTCGGGAACCATAGCCCACGAACCTCAAGATGGCGGCTGTGAAAGGCCATGCCCATGTGTGGGCCCAGAGTGGTATTATGGTAGCCGTACCTATGAATGTGGCTTTGTTTGGACTTGCACGATGTGGGTGTCTTTGTTGAGGGTGCCCATTTTGAAGGGAAACCAAAGGCGACCACCCACTGAGATAGACCGTGGACCCAATGCCCTTAAATTGCGAACAATGGCTGCTGGTGTTACACTGCCAGCCATTTCAGCGATGACGCTTGCTTGCTCGGCATGGGGAGGGTCAGTCATGTGGGCGAGAAACGCTGCCACATCTTCCATTCACAGTTCGCATTTGAGCTATCCTCCCACCCTTACTCTGGAAACCATCAGAAGGCCCTTCAAAAGTCCAGGGGTCTCCAATGAGTTTTTTGTATTGGGAGTGAGGGTGCCTTCCTTATCTTCGTCACCTTCTTGCATCCCAGTTGGGCACATTTTAAGGATGTACGTGTATTCTGTTTGGTTCCGATCCGTGAGTAGAGAATGACTAGCCCCGGGTCTTCCTTTGCTCTACTCAGTCTGCTATGCGAGCGAGGCTTTGCACGTACCCATCTTTCCACGCCTCGGCATGGTGCAAGGGCCAAGCAACCGCGCGCCTCAACTGCACTCCGGAAAGTGTGAACGGCTTGAAAAGTGACTGCGACTTCTGCTTAACAAAATATCCCTTTGAAAGGCCCAATTGGAGCTGGTTCGCAAACGATACCACGACCTTCCCCAATGATGACTTCAGATTAATCTGCAGGACCCTACTACACAGAGGCCCCTCCCCTCCCGGAAAAGGGAAGAACAGAAAAGTACAACAAGGGGACCACCCCTGATTGGTACGGTCCTCCGGATGAAGCCGAAGTTAGCACCAGCAAAGACACCACTTGAACCCGGGAACACGCCCCGGAAAGGGGTGGCCGGTCCCTTCTGCTGGGACACAGGCGGAATATTCCTAGGTCCAGCCTGCATGTCATTTTTGCTGAAGGCGAAGTGGAGTGATGAATGTACTCGAAAATTCGGGTGGCTTGTTGATGCTTGCAATGTTGCAAGAGTCAGTTTGTGTCTTGGTAGATTGATGCAGGCTAAAGTTGGTTTTCATCGTTCGATGCACGCTGTATTTCAAGAGTGTCTCTGACAGTTTGGCTAAAGTTTAGAAGGCGAATCACATGCATCCAGAAAGGTCGGCCCAATTTTGCTCAAGTTGCGAACATGCGTTCCATTTGCCCATGTTGAGATTCCGTCGTTGCAATGGCACCCATTGCTTTGCTCCCTGTAACGGAACATGATTATCCAGGTTCTATATCCGTCAGGTTCTATGTCAGTGCATAGAGGTGCCCAATTTTTGGACTTCATCATGCCGACGACCTGTTGCAGTCGCATCACGGCATGGAATCTCCATTCAATTCCGATTTTCAACTTTGAGCTTGTGTGATCCCATCATACAACAGGAGTCATGTCCTTGTCTGCAATTTAACTTCCATTGCAGCCATCCCTCTGGTCTTCTGAGTCCTGTCTTGCACAGCAAAGTTGGGTAACAGTGGATGGCACGGTGGTCCTGGGCCCCCCATTTTCTTGTGTTTGTGCTCATCCCTTTGCTTACCCACATGAAGGGAGTTGCTTTGGCCCAGAGTTTTTTCCGCGACTTTTTGAGGATGAGAGCCTGGACTTCTTGGGGGTCACCACAGGCTCGGAGATTGTGTGCCCCAAGCACAGCTTCAGCTCTGCAGACTGCCCCTCCCGGGTCTTCACCTGCCATGCGCTGCGCAGAAACTGGCAACGGCTGCGGCCCCTGCTGGACGAGGAGGGCCCCCTAAGTGGTAGGGAATAGTGGAATGAAGCTGCAGCTTTGGAAAGCGAGCAAGCTAAATATGCCTCCTGGGCGAAATACGGGCCATTTTGGCCGGTTTTGCCTATGGAACAGCTTTCGAATGCTGTCGTTGAGCAATGCTGCCGGTGTGTCAGCTCAAACAAAACAATCATTGGAGCTGGTCTTGGACTGGCTCTATAAAGTCGAGCTGCCGCTGCCTAGACCCATACAATCACATCCGTTTGTCAAGCCTTGCGATTTCACTGGTCAACAATATATGGGTACGTGTCAAAAGACGGGGGACTCCCCAACATGGATCTTTTCCTTTTGAATTCAGTTTAAATCCAGAGCCTCAAAAACACGAGTCCATATTCATCCGTTGGCCACCAACCTGAATTGATCAAAGGTGGGGGTTCTACCTGCTCAAGTCAGCGGTGTGTCCGGCGCTTTTGTTTCATGATTCTGCATTGCGTCGTTTCTGTGGATATCCCATATTTGGGGTTGCTTGCAAGGGGAATGTGCAGACAAAACACTTTTTTGCTAAAGCCCAATCGCAAAGAATAAGGTAGTGGAGTTGATCCCCAGGAGTACAGCGAGTGGGAAGATGTGCTGGAGACCGCTTGGTCCGCTGCAGAGCAGGGCGCGACTCCGGCGAACAGACGCATCAGCTTTGGTTGGCGAGGCGCCACTTCAAGTCGGATAGTTTGCCCCACCAAAGTCAGGGAAGCCCCAAAATGGGTAGTTTGCTGGTTGCCACCTGCGAACGATCCCAAAACAAGAACCAATAGATGCTAGCCTCCCTTCAGGGCGGAGTGAACTATATGCATGACAATCCACTCTCCTGTCACGGCAATCAGATCCCAGCTACTTCAAAACCAAACACGACGTTCATTTATTTGCTACTGGCCACTTGCATTGAATGACCAAATACTAGTGCCAAGAGGGACGCAAAGATTTATGCATCCCCACATGAAACCTGTTTGAGGTGGACGCTATACCAAGCAGCCAATCTGTATCACCAGCCATATGACTGGTCATGGACCGCTGTCAGATATGTGGCCGATCTTGCAATGCCCTTTGAGGCCACTTTGGTGGTCTGTGTTGGCAAAACCACCGCGCAGCAACCGCCAGATTTTGCTTATTGATGGCATTGCTTACTATTCCAGTTATTCGTAGATGTTGGCTTCTGTATGTCACAAGCTCCTCACAGCAGTGTGTGTAGATGTACTGTATTTGTATGTTTCTTCACCATGCCTTCTGTCATAGTTTGGAATATATTTTATCCGCCTTGATCAGACAGATTGCGCGCTTTGTTAGCAACCGCCCACAGACTGGTCAGTGAACTTAGGATGTAGACCAGGAGCAATTCAGCACTGTGCATTGTCCAGCGAGACCTTGTTGTCATCTATTGATCGTTGTTAGGGAATACATAAATGGGTGACCGACAAACACTGAGCCCAGACGATAAAGCAACATCCAACCCTCAAGGGTGCCTTGCTGCCATCTAACATAATTTAATAATGTTTCTTCATTCCTTTCCAAGCCCCCCCAGAAGTCATCAGCTCAAAGGTTACCAATGGGACCAAGGGACTCTTTGTGGGTGGCTTGGTCACGGCAGCTGTTTAGTGGCACCCTGTTTCCGTTTTTGCTTCCACAAAATCTGGAAATTTTCACCAAAACGGGATGGCCGTCCTTTCGTCCCGGGCCACCATGCACAACTCCAACGTTGCAACGTCGCAACGGGCGAATCTAAGGAGCACTTTGCCATGGCGGACGTGGGCGCAGGGGAATTCGGGCTGTGGGCGGTGCGCGCCGCCAAAGCCTTCCTGCGCAAGGCTGGATCTTCCAGGGGGAATGAAGGGAAATGTTTGAGAAATATTTGTGAGATGGATCTTCCTGCCAAGGGAAATGCGTGAAAGAAATATTTCGACCAGTTGGCGGAATGTTGCGTCTGTGTGCGCGCATGGGAGCGTGAGTGCGTACTTGTGTTGATGTGTTTGTGCGTTTGTGTATCTGTTGCAGGATCTGTCGTAGTGCAAGCAATGTTACAGACGTCGGTCAGATTTATAGCTTGGCTGAAACCTGACTCGCACATGCCAAGGTGAATCATTTGGCAGATGAAGAAGGTGAACGTTGTCCAGCGGTTTTGAGTCTGATGGTCGGATTTTGTTTAGATTATAACAATCAGTTCTTTCATGTTTGCAGATTTGTACAGCCTTCCGTGAATGTTGGTGTAGCTTAGTTGCATGCCATGCAAAAGCCGCTTGAAAAGACGGGTTCAGAGCTGGATGGGAGACCGTAGGCGCAAGACTGGCAGAGCTGTGAGCTGCTTTTGGTGGAGCCCGTGTATCTCAAGCGGAGAGAGAACCTGGAGAGGCCTGGAAAGGCAACGGCCAACGCGAGTCAACCGGACCTCGTAGGGGAAACAACGACTCTGGGAGTGAATGACACGTTGCCTAGATTCCGGGCATTTCGGTGGCATTTGATTTGGTTGCACACTACAGTTGAAGTACTTTGCTTTTGAGATTCATCAGACTCTCCATTCGTGATCGGCTGCCCCAGTGCATGTATCAAAAGAAGTAATTGTCCAAAAGGGCCCATAGCCCTTGAAAGAAAGTGGTCGTGACCCTTTTCATGTCGGTTAATTAGTAATCATGGAGTAGGCTTCCACTCTCTACTAAATGCATCCATTCTTCCGGGTGGACTATAAAGAAGCTTTGCCGAGGTCCCCTGCCAATCATGCGATCAATGCATGGCGCTTGCTGTCTCAGATCCTTTCAAGAAAGGGTTTTGGAGTTAGACAGAAGCTCGCTCCGCTAGAGGTAGACCATTCCGCAGCGCTTCCTTTCTAAGTCATTCTGCTTTTGGGACTGTCCCTCTTCACGAATCGGCGAATGACAATTTGGACACCAGCGGCATCAGTGCCATAAGCTGTTAAACGCCAACATATGCCGACGTATTGGCGCCCTCTGCAAGCCCCCCTAAAGTCGGCGCTACGCCGACCATTTCTTCGCAGAGGGCATGAGGAGATTCGCTACTAAAAGTCATAGCCATATGGATCCTGCCAAGTTGGGGGCGTTCCCAAGGAGATTCATTTAAACTTGCAAGTTTCTTCGGTCCCATGTTCATCAGGATATCACACCATCACCTTTCCTTATGGTTGGTTGAAAGCTTGTTCGAGGTCTGCCATCTTTAGCGAGTCCTTATCCATTGAGTCCCTTGGTACCCTTTCTTGGGAGCGGGTCTGCATTTTTGAGGGAACCTTTTGTTGTGGTGTTGAAGGGAAATGAAAGGGACAACCCAGCCACATTTGTTTGGGGGGATGCCTTTTTTTGTAGTGTTACAGGGAAACCTTTTTGCAGGACAGCCACATTTTTCCATTTGAGCGTGTTCCCCTTAAAGCGACACACCCAGATCCACGTCCCGCAGGCACCTGGCAGCGAACCTGCCGAAGGGCCGCTGCAAAGTCACGGTGCTGGAGGAGTGCTGGGCTTCACGCTAAAAACCCCACCCGACATGTGGTTTGTCCTGTTGGTTTTCCTTTAAAGTCAAACAGAAAGGAGTTCGATAGAAGACACACCTGTGTAAAACACACACACACACACTTCCTATCTTTTGGGCGCTTGGGGTAAGACTCCCTCTCTGGGGACATGTGTCCAGCCCTTTTCTGGCATTTCCCTCACTCCGTGAGTTTCTGGCCTTTGGACACTTTCCGGTTGACTCAGGAAGCGAGTTTCAAGCCCGGGCCTCTTGCTGCCTTCCAAGGTGCCTGAGTTTCTTTCCTCAAAAGAGACTTGGATCGCCCTGGTGATAAACATAAACGGGATGCACGGTCGGTAGCCCCTCGTGGATGAATCGGGGATGCCATTTCGGGGAATCCCGCAGTTGTTGGGAATCCATTCGAGCCATCCAACAAAGGGTTTCCTGTTTTGAGAAAGACTTATGTGTGCATATGTGTTTATGTACATGCATGTGTATGTGTATATATATATATGTGGGGTCTCTCTCTCTCTAATTATATATATACATACATTATATGGGTTATATATATATATAGATCGCTTTGTTTTGGCATGAGTTGAAATTGAATTGATTCGATTTGCATTACACACTGGCGCGTTGTGCCTGCAAACAAGCATCAAGCCCGAACATATGCGCGCATGCAGGCGTGCATCCATCCAGCCTTCCTTCCTTCCTTCCTTCCTTCCTTCCTTCCTTCCTTCCTTTCTTTATGCATACATCCACGCATCCGTGCATCCATGCATCGATGCCTGCATGCATGCATGCATGCATGCATGCAGCCATGCATCCGAGCATCCACTCCATTCATCCGTCCCTCCGTACGTCCATCCATCCATCCATCCAGCCATCCATCCGCCCATCCGCCCACCCGCCCACTCACCCACCCGCCCGCCCCTCCCACCCACCCACCCACCCATCCATCCCTCCCTCCCTCCATCCATCCATCCATCGATCCATCCATCCATCCAATCATCCAATCATTCATCAATCCATCAATCCATCCATCCAAGATCATTCCCCCCATCCCATTCCATCCCATCCCATCCCATCCCGTCCCTTTATCCCATCATCCCATCATCCATTGGTCCCTCCCTCGCTCCCTCCCTCCCTCTCCCTCTCTCCATGGATTCCGCCGTCTATCCATCCGTCCGTCCATCCATCCTTCCATGGGTTTGCCTTTAACAAGGGGCGGCCCCCCAAAAACAACAACTCACAAAACAATGCACCAGCATAGACCCCAGATAGCATACCACGGCTACGAACCAGGACCCAGCATCCTAGTTGCTCCATCTGCATCATGATGATGCTGACAGCATCATGATGATGTTGGCAGCATCATGCTGATACACCAGCCACGAACCTTTGCGCGCTAGCCGCGCTACATGTATGGCAGAGACGACGTCTTGGTGACTTCGACAGCATCATGATGGTGCGAACAGCATCAAGATGATGCAGCCAGCGTCATGATGACACAGCCACGAATCGTCTTGCGACATTGTAGTGAAGCTCAGCATCGTCATGATGATGTTAACAGAATCATGGTGCTACATTAACCGCGAACCACAACGCGGCATCGAAATGATTCCAGCATCCTCATGGTATGGTTGGCGCCATCATGATGTTACACCAGCCACGAAACATTACAACAACGTCTTAATGGGTTCCACAACATCATGACTACGCGGTCAGCCTCATGATGATACCACAACCACGAACCAGCACCCCCTAGCAGCCTGCGTCAATCTCGACAAATGCGCTCTCAAAGTACCCCGAAACAGCATCGCACAAGCACCTCAAACTGCATGCCCTCTATAGCACCCTGCCGTCAACCCGCAAAAATGCACCCACACCGTCATCAGCACCGCACCCCAAACTACATTCCACCTAGCACCCGCCTCTATGTCGCAAAATCGCGCCCCGTCACACCCCAAAGCAGCACCTGCACCAGCACCCCAAACTGCATGCCCCCCAGCACCCTGCCGTTAATCTAGCCATGCTCCCACGCCGCCACCAGCAAGCGCCTGCACCAGCACCCCAAACCAGCACCTGCACCAACACCCCAAGCTGCGGCATGCCCTAGCACCCGGCCGTCAATCTAGCACAGTGCGCCCGCACCGTCATCAGCAACTCCAACAGCACCCCAAACTGCATGCCCCCTAGCACCCGGTCAATCTCGCAAAAATGCGCACGCACCGCCACCAGCACCTCAAACAGCACCCCAAACTGCAAGTGCATGCCCCCTAGCACCCTGCCGTCAATCTCGCAAATCACTTTCCCCTCTTTATTGGAAGTTAGAACCCCTATAGTTTTCAGCTATCTGGGGAAAGCAACCTTTGGTTCCTTTAAGGCAAGGTAAGCCCAAGAATTACCATCAAGCAATGCATACTCATACCCAATGAACAGTGCGAGCACTTGCAGGGGTGCCATATGTTGCCCACTTGGGCACGTTCCCGACTTCAGATTCTCAGATGGTTTTTACCATTGCGGATCCATTGCTGCGGCCCATTTGTGCTCTCTTCCGTGGATGTCCGTTGAAGGAAGCCCGCGCATCAGTCATGGGAGGTCTTGAAGACTCTGCGTTTTGTTGAGAGGATCATGATTCATGGGCAGTGCTCCACGTTTATCAGTCCGAACGTGTCGTGCCCTCTAAATGTTCACAACCTCACTGACCAAGGGCTCCACGGAAGGCAAGCCCAAAGCGGCGTCAACTGAGCTTATTTATGTGGGACCAGCCAAGACTCTGTATCCCCCGGATTGCTGTCAATCGAAGTGCGTCGCGAACCATCCAACCATTCCCCTAAGAGCCCAGTACATGGTGCCTGTGGCCGTTAAAACATGGTCATTCCCAAAGTCGCTCGTAAGCAGCAAGAAGAACGGGCAAGGAACCTGCCCAAGGTGGCTTGGCACCGTTTGGATCACAAGGGAAAGCGCAAGGACACCCACCAGTTGTTTTTTATATTTCGGCCACTAACACTGAGTATAGGTCTTTCACGGTACCCGATCGATGCAAACTAGGTGGGGCTATCGGCTTTAGTTGTCCCGTATTGGTTCCTGTCTATTTTGTCGGGCATTGATGTTGGTGCAGCGAATTCTTCGGACAGGAGTTTCTGAACTCCCCGCAACAGCTGGAGCCGGTACTGCGGAACAACTCAAGGAGAGAAATCCGTCACTGACTGCGGCAAATCAACTTGCGTACTACTGATTCTAGGTAGCGTCTTAGGGTGCCTGGGACCCATCGATTCAGAGCCTCAACGTGACACACCCTGGATGCCCACTAGTGGATTGCCTTTCACTGCGGGGAACAAAAGACACTCAGGCACCGTGCCGTTTAGCGTTTGAAGCCCAGTGAGACGGAAACTTGAGTACCCAGAAGTCCTTTCAAGGCAGAAACCCAATCAGATGGATGGGAATCGACCAGAAACATGCACTCGTGCGAGTTGCAGTTTGAATTTGGTTTGCCGATCAGCCGTAATTAGCTTACCGACTGGAAACTGGGAATCTGTTTGTTGGATCATAAGAACCCCTTTGAATGAGCACCGGCAGTACACCCTTAAATGCGCGGGGCGGGGGGGCGGGGCATGACCATCAGAATATGTTGGAGTAATCCAAAGGCAAAAACTTGGAGCTTGTCCACGTTGGTATCCTTCTGCTTTTCTGTTAAAGTCCCGAGCTGGCTTCCTTTTTGAGGTACCGCCTCGTAGTAAGTGTGTTACTTTGCTGCCCCTTAACTCACAGCATTCTTGGCGGTTATTTCAATGTTTACCGCTTTGCTCGAGATTCAAGAATGGCCTTGAGGCTGAGGG